TTCTAACTTTCTTAGCAACGCTAAAATAAAACCGTACACTAAAACATCAGTCGTTGGCAACTTTATTCATAACATAACGGTACATAAAGGTCATCAGTTGGTAAAAAAAAGTTCTATAAATCAAAATAAAATTTTAATTTTAACTAATAGGGTAGAAAAAAAAGCGAACAAATGTAAAAAAAGTAAACGAGATCTATTGATTATATTCTCTTTGAGTTAAAAACCCAAAGGTCGATATTTAACAATTTAAAATTCCAAACTAATTTAATTGCAGATAAAATACAATAACATAGTATATGTCATTTGCGTTCCTAATAAAAAAATAGTGATTTAGAAGTTCAATTGCAAATTGAAAATATACACGTAATATTCAAATTAATAAAAGTAAAGAAATTGAATCTGACACTATGCCAATTGCTGACATATTCAAAAAAGCCTCCAGTCTAATACTTGGAGAGGATAAGCTTGATGAAAAAATCGATACCGTTTATGAAGACAACGAAATTCTTTTTTGCAAAAATAATGTATGCATACATCCACCAATTGTGGCACGACAGGAATGTGACTTACTTCACTATCCCGGATACTTAACGGTAACAACGAAAACCTTTGTGGATCAATACAATAGCGCCAAACGTTCAACTCTTTTGCTAACTTGGATACCGAATTCATCCCTGTGCAAATGCCCATCGTCTGGTGAGGGATGTCCAGCTTATTTTAAAGGCCCTTTACCACTGACCGCTGGAGCAAATGCTCAAATTTTTATTGGTGATGTTAATGGCGAGCGCAAAGTTAGTAGATCCAATACTTGTCCCACTGCTAACAACGAAAATACGAAGGAAGACGAGACAAACACTTCAACGGTTGATATGCAGGAGTTGCGCATTGAGCTACAGCCTTTATTAGGCGGTAAAAAAGCATCTTTGGAGGACTTGAAAGCTTTGCTTCGAAAGGATCCCATCACTTCGGTTAACATAACTATATCAAATCCACAAATAGAGAATACTAATATATCGCAAACTTATAATTGTGTCGTGGTTGCTGATCGAGAAAAACTTCAATTAAATTCTGATGGCTCGGTATCCGACGATAATAACCCGAACTGGATGACGCCGGAACTTCTAGCCTTTAAACATAATCTTGCATTTCCAGATAGCGAAAATACTACTCCCACTGCGAGGCGCAAAACAAATATCAAATGTCGACGGTTCTCAGTCGATTTAAGTCAAATGCGATCATTGCGGCTATTTTTTAATGACAATAATTGTACATCGGGCCAACTAGTTATTGCTTCTCGGGAATCACAATACAAGATTTTGCATTTCCATTACGGTGGTTTGGATCATTTGGCGCAAGTAGCAAGTTGTGTATTTTTTTGCACACTGATATATTTCATATTTCTGTATGCTTCTAGGTCCTTCATCAATGGCATTGTTTTTTGCATAATGTCACTCATGCTTTAGGACAAGAAAAACAAAATTTACCTTATCGCCAATTCATGGTTTGTCGCCCAGAAGTAAAGAAATCTGAACTTCATCCTGATGAAGGAAATGTGAAAAAGATTACCACTAACTTTTTCTACGGTACCTTGCTCAATGAAAAAGGACAAATCGACGATGATCTCATGTTAAGGAAATGCGTATTCTTCGGCGGATTGGAGAAAAGTTTGCGCAAGACCGTTTGGCCATTTCTATTAAAATGTTACTCCTTCTCATCGACTTTTGAAGATCGAGCCGTCTTGATGGATATTAAACGGCAAGAATGTGAGGAGATTACACGGCGACGTTTATATTCAATGTCGCCCGAAGAACAAATATATTTCTGGAAAACTGTTCAATGTATTGTGGAAAAAGATGTTGTACGTACAGATCGTTCAAATCCGTTTTTCTCCGGCGAAGACAACCCTAACACTGAAATTATGAAAAACATTTTATTAAACTTTGCCTTTTACAATACCGGTATTTCTTATTCACAAGGTATGAGCGATCTTTTAGCCCCGGTATTATGCGAAATACAAAACGAATCAGAGACGTTTTGGTGTTTTGCCGGTTTGATGCAGAGAGCATTTTTTGTTTGTACGCCAACTGATAACGACATTGATCGTAATTTAAACTATTTGCGTGAATTGATACGTATTATGCTTCCGCGGTTCTACGAACATTTAAAACAGCATAGCGATGCTTTGGAATTACTGTTTTGCCATCGTTGGTTACTATTGTGCTTTAAAAGAGAATTTACCGAAGCTGTAGTAATCCGAATGTGGGAGGCTTGCTGGTCCAATTACTTGACGGATTACTTTCACTTATTTCTATGCTTAGCCATTATAGCAGTCTATGCAGATGATGTTATTGCTCAAAATTTAAGGGCAGATGAAATGTTGTTGCATTTTAGCTCATTAGCTATGTATATGGATGGTCAGTTAATATTACGAAAGGCACGTGGATTGTTATACCAATATCGCCAACTTTCAAAAATTCCATGCACTCTTGCTGGCTTGTGTAAACGTTGTGGCCCTGGTATGTGGGATTCAGAACATCGTCCAGCTTTAGAATGTATTGGCCATATGGATGATGAAAAATGCGTTTTAGCTATTGACTAAGCCTTTTTCATGTCAAATCGTTTAAATGAATTTTGTGAAAATATAGTCAGGAGTCCTTGGATAAACGGATAATGCTAACGCTCATGTGTGGTATTCAGAAAATTGGTCTATTTACATATAGATATTGCTTTTTCTCCATATCATGGCAGAGCGAAGTATATGGCAAAATTGAATCCATTATAAAAATGCTTCGATCCTATTAGGCTTATGGCTACTACTTGTTAATTTTCAATATAAGTCTTCAATGAAGGATTCTATGAACTGAATGTGTAAACGCTTTAAAAAATGTGACAAATTTTTTCGGTTAAATGTATTAAAAGTTTTTGTTGAAGAAATATTTTTTTTGCCCACTTCCAACTGAATGTGTAAACGCTTTAAAAAATGTGACAAATTTTTTCGGTTAAATGTATTAAAAGTTTTTGTTGAAGAAATATTTTTTTTGCCCACTTCCAACGAAAAAATGCAATTTTGTTGATAACAACTGATATATAAATTAGATGATGATTATATATCAAATTTGAAAATGTCCAACATGACAGGAAGAGTGGCAAAACACAAATGCAACTGTAAATACCGACCCACTAAAAAAAAAAATGGTCCTGACAAATCAACAGAAATTCCGACATTTGTCAACTTATTGTAAAACTTTTCTATATCAACTTAGTGTTGCATATACAACATTGGACACAAAACGACCATAACTTTCCTAGTTTCTTTTTATATAAAATGTTATTTGTGATTATTACCAGTTTTTTTATTTCTTCTATGCTTTAGGAACATTTAATTTGAACCGTTCGAAATAAATATTTTAATGTAAGAAGCGAAAAATGACAGTAAGATTGAATTGATCGTAAATATTAAATTTAAAACTAACTATAATTAATACAAGACTCAGATGAATAAATATATATGTACGTTGATATAAATAATACATTGGGTAGCGTTATTAACCAATTATTAAAAAGAGTATAATATACAAATGCTAAGAGTTCATTAAAGCAAAAAATAAGAGTTTTAGTAATTTTGAATGTGTTTAATGTAATTGCTACTATTTTTTTATTTTGTTCATTAATATTATTTTGTTTTCTTGGCAAAAAAGCTCATTATAAAATTATAATTTATTAAAAAAAACACAAAATAGAAAAGAAAATCTAATATACATGAGTACATTAATTTACATGAGTACATGTTTATATATTTTTGCTTCAAATTAAGTCTATAAATTAAACAAAAATGCTCTTGTTTCATAACAACATCTAACTAAAAAAATAAAAATAATAAGATTATTTATTAAATTACTTAAAGATTTTTACATTACCTAAAGGAAGAAGAAACCCGACCTGGCATAATGAGTGGTGGTTCTTCAACGTCCGGTAGATGCTAGCATTAATATTTATTAATATAAAATTTAATCCCCTACGAAATTATTCTTAAAATCACGTGAATCAATAAGAAATATATATATTTCGATCAGGTAACAAATTATAAGCTTCGGAGAATAGACCAAAATTCAAAATTGAAAGAAACGTAAGAAAGTTATTGAGGAACCCACTGTGGTTAGTGAGAGATGCTTCATCACCAGCCGGTAGAAGCAGATATTGATATTTAATCTCATGCGAAACTAGTTTCAGAATCACGTACATCAAGAAAACCTATACGGTAAGATAACAAACTTTGGAGAATATACAAGAAGGAAAAATCCTAAGAAAAGTAAAAATGTTATTGAGGGGCCCCACATGGCATATTGAGAGGTACAACCCCGTCGCTTTGTAGAGGCGGGTATTAACAGTTAAGCTGATACGAAATTATTAGAATCAAGTGAATCAATAAAAAATATATATGTCTTGAGAAGAAACCATAAAGTTTGGAGAATAGACAAGAAGTAAACTTTTAAAGAAAAAGGGTATTTTTGATTGTCACCATATATCTTGGTAAGATCACAAACTATAAAGTTTGGAGAATAGACAAAAAGGAAAAATTGAAAGAAAAGTAAGACTGTTATTGAAGACTCCCACCTGACATAATGGAAGATACGTCCGCATGATTCATAGGCTACCATTTCTCCTCTGGTGGCGCTGCAAAGGTGCTCTAAATTTTATGTGAAATAGCAGTTTTAGAGGCAAGAGGACTTACTACTACTTTTAAAAGACTTTTACATGACAGTCCGACATTTGATTTATCCTCTTTATCAAAAACCTTGCTTTATGGATTCTTATTGCACCTGCTTTGTAAAGAGACTGAGTCTCTCAAATTTGCCAAACAGTGAACGGAAAACTGCAAAAGATGATGCAGATTTCAAAAAATATATTAGAAATTGCTATGGAAGAAAATTTTTTTCGTCTCAAAGGTAAGAACGGTTTCGTTAATACATGCGAAAACACTTAGTACTTTTAGCTCAGTGGTACTGGATTCTCAGTTTTTTTTAAATATTAGTTGTCAAAATAAAAGAAATTGTGATTTATTTACATGATTTATTTTTCGTTGTATTTCCATTATGTAGGACGAGTTTTGTTGGCATTTTTCAACGCATTATTAAATCTAAGCAAAACTAAATAGTGCCACAAGGATTATATATGTTTTTATACACTTCACCGAAGTATGATTTTGCAAAACACAGTGATTTCAGCCACCACGTCACGTAGACTGAGAATACTTCTGTTTTTCGGAAAAAATGAAAGATTCGTTCTCGTAACTACAGAAAATAAGTGTACAAAAATTTGAACGCAAATTCTGTGGCCTTTGCTCTACCATTCATGGAAAAAATGGAAAAAATTCACCATACCTATCGCTATAACGCGCAGAAATCGGCTTCAAAAACCCGGTAAACATTATAGTATTTGTGGTAAAGATTCTTCCGTTAGCGAAAGTAAAGATATCGCCTGTAAACTTGAAAAAGAATTGGGAATTGACCTAAACTTTTCAAAGGCATACAACGCCCAATGCCTACACGATAAAAACTTTTATTGTGAAAATAAGAAAAATCAGCTGCGTCCACCTTCTTATTATAGAGCATGAAGATTTTGTTCTTTTACTTCTGTCTTTTTTAGGAAAACGGTCATGGATGTAAAAGATTCGGTCCTGACCGAATTTAATTTTCTTAGTTGTTCTTTTCAAATAAGACTTTGAGTGTTATATGTGTCTATGTATGTACGCACAAGAAAAAAACTAGAACATGTAGAGTACAAAAAAGAAATAATAGTAACACTTATATAAACAAATTTCCTCTAGGCTGCAACCATGGATGGACATACTACCGCAGAATTATAATGTTTTTAGGTTGTCAGTTACCACTTCTAATCGTTTTCTTTTTACCTCTATAATCGCTATAAGTTGGTAATGAAATCCCATAACTGACCTTTGGTTCCTTTGGAATAAATTTTCCATATGATATTTCACAGAAATACAGAAAACATCTAAATTTCTTTATTGCTTTGAACTATATGTATTTTCAACCGCTTTTCTTTAAAACCAATTTCAAAACAATTTTTAACTACATGAAAATTTTGAAAATCTCTTTCATTTCGTTTGTTTTTTTGAAGACAACTGGTAAGGGTATAAAAAATTTGATCCCGACCGAATTTAACTTTTTTAGTAGCCACATTCGTTTTTGTGCGTAATATGTAAACACTGAAATTATTGCCTCTTATAAGAAAAATGTCATTTAACATATTCCAAAAACTTGCCAAGCTATACGAACCCAGAGGAAAACTAAAAATGATGCCATTAAAATGCCCGTAAAAACGTGCTAAATATATCGACTATAAATGAAAAAGTGACTTTAAAAGCTATGAACGTAGTTACAAAATTAGCCGAAATTACGAATAGATGACGGCTGTTGTTTGAAAAAATATAATAACATTGTTAAACTTAAGAAAGCAGCGATGTTTAGTGTCCGTTTGTTAGCCGTCGTATTCTAATACTAAATAATAATTCAAGTTGCACGCGGAGACCTGTCTGGGTCGTCAGAATAGTGTGGGTTTAGTTCGGTAATCAGAAACAAAAATACGCGCTGCGTTAATGTTTAACTAATTGTTTTATTTATGAACACTTTCTAACTTAAAATTTATAATTGAACCAAAAAAAAAAAACCATCCTTCCTAACCCTAACCCATGTCCTAACCCATGCCTATGCTTAGTCACTCCTAATGTCTTTTTGCGGAAATCTCAGCAAATCTTTAATAGAATATTGCGAAATTAAAGAAAAAAGAAGTTCAATTGCAAGACGCAACGTCCGCGTACAATTGTAGCGTAGGGTTCCGTCGGCCTGCTTTGACAACTACTCTATCACAATAGATTCAGTAAGACCGTAAAGACGGCCTGCCGTTAGGCAAAACCACACTTGCAAGAATATCGGCTTGCCGTTATGCAAAGAAAAAAAAAGGGAAAGAAGAATAAAAACCTAGTCATAATGGTCTGTTGCTAAATTACTCTATTATACAAGAGAGAATCCTGAAAAGACGAAAGTCGAGAGTCCGTCTGTGTTCTTGGGTAAATTAGTTTTCTTTGTTTCTGAAGTTCTGAACAGATTTGGCGTAGTACTTTGTCATGTTAAGATCTCGCTGAACGATATTTAAGAGAAGAGAAAAATTTAAAGGCGAAAAAAGCAAAGAAAAAAAGGAGAGTTCTGGTTTTGATGCTTTGTATGGTGAGTGGAGTAGGGTTTTGAAGAGGTGTTCGTTGGTTGAGGGTAGAAGGAAGCGCTTCGATTTCGAAAATAGAGATTATTTGAAGTGTCTTGAACGGAATGCGTGCGAAAGTAAAAAAATTAAGAAATAATATAACGAAAAAATATATTTATGTGAAGAACAAATTATGGAAGTTTTGTAAAAAAGATTTCGGGAAGTTCTGATAGCTTTTGAAAAATAACATTCGTGAAGAAGAAAATCGTTAATATTAAAATATTAGAAAAGAAAAAAAATTATTATAAAAAGATGTTAACATTAACATATTAATCAAAATTGGCAACGGCTGCATGCATCACAGACTTAATTTATAGAAATTTAAACATGTAACAAAAAATTTTTGTGTGTTATTTTGCATTGTTTTTTTTTCTGAATAAAAGAAAAAAGTGATTTTAATAGTTTTTGGTTATTTTCTTTACTTTGTCTTACTTAGGGCAAATAATGCAATGATAATTAAATAGAAGCAAAATAAAGAACGTTGGAGAAGTAAAATTTAATATAACAGAGACTCGCTTTTTGTTTGATTTCAATGTAAAACAATAGAATTTTGTCGTTGTCTGCAAAAGAACTTTGTCAACAAAGGTCAAATTCGAGACAAGGGTCAATTGGAGACGTAAGTATATACCTAAAGCTCATACATATAAACAATTATCAAAAGGATTCAACATTTTAATTTACGAACAAACCTAGAGGGATTCGAAAGTAAAAAAAGTGTAAACAACGGAAAGCAGTTGAAATAATAAAAAAAAAAGGAATTTAACAAAAACCTAATTACCGAGTTTGGCAACTCTGCGTGCGTGTTATAGTTGCTTGTTAACTCTGTGCAAGAAATGTTTCAAATTCTTAGCTTTTTGGCTTTATTCGTGTAAAAAGCATAAAAATTCTTTAAAAGAATAAAGTGTGCAATTTAACTTATATGATATATTAATCATTTATGCGAAAAAATCATTTAGATTTTATGCAATCAACAATTAGAGCTCTTGGTAAAAGTCCCTCTTTTTTCTATTAATCTTTGTTTACAGTTTGTTTGGCTTTCGCTCTATATTTACAGTGGCAACGAAAGTGAGATGTTTGTTTTAATTTGCTGAAAATTTGTGTCGTGGAATCATTGAGTTTTTGGTCCTTTTTTTTTTTCGTAAGCTGGACATGGATTGTTTATTTACATCATGTCGTGCGAAGACAGGCCCTGAATTTGAACGCTTCATTTCATGTTAGCTGTGTGATCGTTTTTGCTATGCAAAGTGTGCTAGTATTATCGGCCGTGCTGCTGATGCAGTCCTTGACCCCTCAAAAGGCTTACGATGGTCATGTCCTGACTGTAGAAATCGGAACATAGTTTTCTACAAACTCTTCACGGAGACGAGAAATTGTTTCTCATATTTCAGGAAAAATCTCGGCTCATTGTGGAAGAAATTAGAAATAATTAAGACTATTTTTGATGAGTGCCGTTATATTGAGCACTCACCTTCTTCCCCAGCTAACAAAGTTACAACTCGTAGCGTAGCGTGTGGTTCGTCACCTCTGAGCTCTCCTAAGTCTGATTCGTTGATACAAGTTAGCGCTTCCTCAAAGTCTAGAAA